TTCATTTTTATCCATCGGTTCCCTTGACAGTAACATTGCATCTACGGACCTGAGAATTGGACTGGCAGACACACGTGAGAAAGGTATGGTTTCTCAAAATCAATAGTCAAATCTTTCACATCTCGGCAAAACCGACCCTCAGTCACCACATTGTCTGTCTGCCAACTAGCTTTACCCTGCGCTCGAATTCCTCTCATTATGACCAAAGAATTAGCAGAGAACGAATAGTTTTTCAGCCCGAGCGCTGATAGCAGATGATCTCAGGCGTCTAGATATATTTCACGATTGCCCCTGGTGCGTAGCTGATCTGCAGCACGAGTAACACCAAGGAGAACAGTTACATTTCCAAGAAAGTAGCACAGTACGAATCAGTCTTCAGCCCTGGCGCTAATAGCAGTGTGAGTGTGGGTGTCTAGACACTTTCAAATTCGAATTCAAACCAGCAAACGAATTCCATCACCAGAGAAAAACAGAACATGACTAGTTGTGCGGCGTCTGCGTTCATAACAGACCCAAGCCAAGCGCCTAGATACTTCAGACTATCCCGACTCATGATTTTCTCTTCATTTCTCTGCGGGGGAGCTCTCAAGCTCATCTGCAGCTCGAGTTAAGTGAACAAATCCACCATCAGTTCGAAAAAGATCGGTCGCATACGAAAGTTTTGCGGACCTAGCTCGAGTAGCGGACTTTGTTCAGAGCTCTAGATGCTTCAGCCGAACGCCAATGATGATTCTGGATCGGTTTTTGTGCGTACCAGCTCTGTAGCTCTGCTACATCTCGAGTTAAGGACAGAATACCGACAGCGCCTGTAAACAGAACTTGAGAAATGCGAATGGTGTCGTGGACCTAGCTCGAGTAGCAGACCGAGTCAGACCTCTCGATGCAACAGACGAACGTGCCTGGTGACACTGAATCAGTTTATGTGCGTATCAGCTCTGTAGCTATTCTTAGATCTTGAATTGAGTACAGAAAACTGGCAGTACTTGTCAAAATCATTCGAAGAATACGAATAGTTTTGATAACCTAAATCGAGTAGCAGACCGAGTTCAGACCTCTGGATGCAACAGATGAGCGGGCCTGATGATTGTGAATCGGTTTCTGTAAGTACCAGCTGTCTCGCTTTTCTACATCTCGAGTTAAGTACAAAAAACCGTGAACGCGTCTCAAGATGACACGGAACACAGTCGGTTGCTCCAAGTGTTTTGATAGTAGTATTGCAGCTACGGACCTGAGAATTGAACTGGCAGGCGCGGCATAACCCACTACAGGTGCGAAGAAATTGCTTTCTCAGAATGAATGATCAAATACCTTTCAAATCTTAGCAAAACAGACCCCAGGTCACCACATTGTCTCTTAAGGTGGGGTCTGCCAACTAGCTCCACCCTGCGCCCGAATTCCTCTTAGCTCATGGTAGCGTCCAAAACCCGGAGAGTAAAGAGAAGCTGAACTTTCCTGGCGAGCCCTCGGAAGCTCTCCTGAAGCGCTTCTGAAGGGCTGCCAGGCACGCTTCCACGCGTGCCTGCACGCGTGCAGGCGCGCGTGGACGCGTGCCCGAAGCGCTCCCGGTCCCGCTGCGACCCCAAACGAACCCCTGCGAGGATTCTGGAGCGGCGAAGATGGGCTGCTGGCAGGCACCACCACCGTCCGGCTTCTAATCTAAAGCCCTATAGCTCTCAGAGAGCTCTCCGGGCATCGTGCCGAAGAGCTCTACGAGGTATAACGAAGAGCTCTACGAGGTACTAGCGCCACCCGGCGCCGGAATTCCTCCAGCTCATGGATAACGAAGAGCTCTACGAGGAGTAAAGCTCCCTGGGGAAGGTCTGAAGAAGCTTCTGAAGCGATGCCAGGCACTTTTCCATGCGTGCCTGCACCAGAGAGCTCCCCGGGAAAGTAGCTGCGCCCCGCGCTGAATTTTCTCTAGCTTATTGATGCCGGAGATCTCTACGAGGTACTCTTCTAGCTTCGCCGCTGACCCTCTAAGGGAAGCTCTACGAGTTTCTCTTCTAGCTTCGCCGCTAATGCTCTAAGGGGAGATCTGCGAGTTCCTAGCTAAGAGAAGCTTTGCGAGTCATGGGGGCCAGCCGTGGACCGTCAACCTTGGTTGCCGCCAGGAACTCGTAGAGCTTCCTCGTGCAATGCGGGCGCGGCAATCTCGCATTGCGCGCGCGAGGGCGCGGTCTCATAACTCGTAGAGCTTCGCTTAGCTAGTTGCCGGAAGCGTAAGAGTAATTCCGGCGCGCTGGAGAGCTAGTTGGCAAGACAAATCTCGACGGACCTTTTGGTGATCTTTGCTCGGTGGAAAATTATGTTCTCGAAATTCAACAAGTCGTTAGAGCTCTAGAATTTTTTCCCGTGATATTCGATCTTATCCCCGCCCGCCGTCTCAATCTCTGCTCGATCGGGTACCTACTACTGCCAAGAAGCACGGGGGCGGGATCGGCCGTTTCGAGTCATCTTGATACGCGTTGATGGTTTTCTGTACTTAACTCGAGCTGGAGAA